AAACCCTAAACCCTAAACCGCGCGAATTCTACAGGAAAGGCCTGGTATAGCCGCCGCCGAGCTTGAGCAACTCTTCGTGCTGACCCTCCTCTATGATCTGGCCTGCTTGCAGATTTTGGGCTTTGGGGGTTATGGGATTTACGGCATGGGGTTTAGGGTTTTGCGGATTTTTTTTGGTTGAGGGTTCAGGGTTCTGGATTATTTTTTAGGGGTTTGGGCCAGGGTTGGGTGTTTAGGGTTCGGAGGGCATTTAGGCACCTGGCTACGGGGATGGTATCGTCTCAGGGTCATGACTCGTAGCCGTAGCATTAGAATGCCGGGCACGGGGTTTAGGGTTAAGGGTTGGCCCGAACTGCGAGGTTTCGGCTGTGGAGTTCGCACTCAGAACTGAGAGGCTGCAGCAGTCTGAAATGTTTCCTTGTCCCGGGAACACCGCTGCTTGCTTCTATCTTGCTATCTCTCTTTCAAGGACGCCACCTATCCGTCTGTTTAGTCTTGCAATTTTCCGCTCAAATATACATATACATAAATAAATACGTGTGTATATATATATACATGTAAATATGCATTACACAGCATATACACACAAACACAGACCCGAATGTCTTTCAATCACTCGTCGCTCAACCCAAGACCCCGTACCTTCGACCCTCAATCGTGAGAGTTGGAGCTTTAGACGGTGGTGGCCGCAGAATGCCAGGGCCGAACCTAGCTTTAGGTTCGGGGTCTCGAGCTTGGGGGCCCAGGATTTTTTGGGGTGTGAAGGGGGAGGATCTTGGGTCAGTTTAGAGCTCATGGCTTGAGGTCATGGTGCGGGTCTAGTGTCGGGACCGTAATCATTACTGTTGCAGCACGCTTGCTATCTATGTGTCGACTTTCAGGCCATCCCTTGACCCCAAATAAGATACCTTAAGGACCTATATAAGTAAATCATANNTAAAACGGTAGGTTCCTTAGGGTCCAGGTAAGCGCATGTAATTGCTTTTCGGAAACCCCTGAGGTTGATCGGGACCCGAAGCTGGGATGGTTCGGATCCTTCAAGTTACGTACGGTGAAACCTTGCCCGGACGCGCAAACACAGCGCCCTTGTATTTATTTCTGAAGGTCCTTCTGCCAAAAGCCGATACTGCACAACGACCTGTTTCCAAAGCCCCTTCTTCCCATGTTGGTTACACGGTTACACCCAAAGCCTTAAACCCTGAAAACCTCCAAACCCTAAATCCTGAGCCCGAAAACTCTGCCCGTCCTCCGTCCATCACGACGATCTTGTCCGCACGCTGGACCATCGATAGGCGAAGATCGTGGGCGACAATCTTGGTGGCCAGGCTCGGATTCGAGGCTGAGGATTCAGAAATTCAGGGTCCAGGCCATAGGGTTTAGGGTCTTGGGGTTTAGTTTAGGGTCTAGGGGTTTAGTTTAGGGTTCAGGGGTTTAGGGGTTGAGGGTTTAGGTTCGCAAAGCGCTAGGATACAGCAGGTATCGATGATGTCAATGATATCCTTTCCTGACTCGGCAAAGCCATCCAGCGCAGCCCAAGAATAGAAAAAGACCGAAGCCCCTGGCGATCACCGTCCGACGCACGCCGCGACTTTCTGACCATTGGGCCTGGTCCGGGATAAATTTGAGTTTATTGTGCTCTCTTCGGCTTCGTAAGAATCCTTGGCGCCCTAAACTCTCCCAGGTCTTCGTCTGGTCCGTTCCTTTCTGCTTGTGCTCCCCTCTTCCCTTCGAAGGTGGGGCCCAAGAAAGAGCCCCCTAAGCTCCCGAACCTCACAATATAGGGGCCTTAATAATTAGGATAGAGTTTTGGGGCCCGTTCTAATTATAATAAGGAACCCCCAAAATACGATTGGTAATTATTAAGAACTAAGGCTACATTAAATCCGAACGAAAGCCTCAACCTTGTGAGACGTTCAAAAGAGGAGTTTCAAGCAGCGGGAGGCCTGGGTTCTGCCTGTAAGTTCCGTTTTTTTCATGGTGCGCCAGGGATCTTTATTCAAGCCTACACTCTCAAAAATTAACCCGAACCCGCCTGAGACTGCGTACTACTCATCCCTGACAACAGGGGCCCTCCCTGAGCCTACACCCTAAAACCGAAACCGCAATCAGAACAGGACTTTGGGGCAGATTGTACTACAACTGTAGCTATACGGACCTCTGCAGAAGAGTGTTCACAAGGAAGCTGATGTCGGTCGGAACACTTACGAGTCTTGAGGCCGGAAGAGCCCTCAGGCCGATTGCACACTGCCTAGGCTGCTATCTATCGGTGGCCCCTGCTGGGTGTAGGATGCGGTTCGTCACTGCTAAAACAAGACAGCTTAACACCGTGAGCCTTAAGCCGTGAAACCTCAACACTGAACCCTAAACCCTCGGCCCTAAACCCTAAACCCTAAATCCTAAACCCCATCATTATACCCCACAGCCCGAAAACCTGAGCCCACCCTTGAAAGAACCCTTCTAGGAACCCTTCTGAAGCATTCCTTTTTGTTCAGGAACCCCTTCAAGGCGGACCTTGGAAGTTGTAGAGAGGAACCCCAAACCCCTACACCCCAAACCCCTAAACCCTTAAACCCCACCCCCTTAACCCCTAAACCCCTAAACCCCTAAACCCCTGAACCCTACACCCTAAACCCCACCCCCTAAACCCCTAAACCCTACATCACACCCAAAACACCCCTAAACCCTACACCTTAAACCCCTAACCCCTACACCCAAAACAACCTTCAACCCTACACCCCAAACACCCCTCAGACCCTACACCTTAAACCCCTAACCCCTACACCCAAAACACCCCTCAACCCCCCTTTAAACGAAAGCCCCCACTTCACCACGGGCCTGCTCGAGAGCTCTGGACACCTCCGCGGAGCTCGCTGCATCCAAGGCGGAGGTCGGCTCATCCAGGAGCAGCACCTAACTTTAAACATATTTTAGGGTTTAGGGTTTAGGGTTTAGGGTTTAGGGTTGAGGGAAACAAGTCACCTATAATATGTTTGGAGCAGCACCTAACTAAGATTAAACATATCATAGGGTTTAGGGGTTTAGGATGTAGGGTTTAGGGGTTTAGGGGATTGGGTTTAGGGTTTAGGGCTTAGGGTTTAGGGTTTAGGGTTTAGGGTTGAGGGAAACAAGTGACCTAAAATATGTTCGGAGCAGCACCTAACATTAAACATATCATAGGGTTTAGGGGTTTAGGATGTAGGGTTTGCAAGCCTTCCACGGCTTGCTGGTGATTCCCCGATCAAGCGACAGAATGACAGAAAGTCTGAATGCAGTGCAGTCTTATGGCCTTGGCGAACGAAGGACGCGAGGACTGAGCGGGCACTCCCTTTTGATCACTCTAAGCTGCAATCACTGACATGTCACGTGATAAGGCCACGAGAACTCGCTGAGTTCTTGCATACCACCGGCTCCCCGCCCGGAAGTAATTGTTCAAGCTGCCGGAAAGAAACAAAAGACTTCATCAGTGCCATCACCCTGCAATGTCTCAAGACCTTCTGTGCGCCGTTTTCGAGCTGAGCGCATCTGGGGATCCTCCACAATTCGCCAGCTGTGACCCATGCGGTAGTATAACTCCAACTCCTTGTTGGCGTTGTGTTTTGTGAGGGAGTTGCCCAGTTGAGCTTCGGAGTGTACCCAACGCATGATGACCTTCGTGCGCGCCTGAGCCTCCTTCAAGCTGAGCAGCTCAATGTTGGATTTCTTCTCGGCTCCCTTGATGGAGAGAACCTCAGTCCGAAGCTTGTCACACACGTTTCTGGAGTCCGTTATCACGCAGCCGGTGACCTTAGTCACAGAACTGTCCGGATCCTTAGTATCTGGAGCTCCGTACATCAACTCACTCCACTGGTAGCGAACATAGTAGAGCTGATCTTCTCCGTTCACGGCAGCCTGAGACTCAGCAGCCCCTGGGCTTCTACAGACCCTGTCGATTTTGTGGGACTGCCAGGAAATCGGAGAAATCTTTTCCACTTCTCCTTGCAGTAGGCTAAGTGGTGCCATGCCAATGAAGATACCTTGGGTGCTACCACCGTCTCGGCGGTTCTCGTTGGCAGCATCTACCCAAGCGTAGCAACCAAGTTCAACCTCAGGAGGGTAGGCATGTATCAGCATCTGATGTTGCTTCCGGGCCTTAGCACTCTGAAGCAACTGATTCGCCTGCAAGAGCGTTGCCACGGTGCTTTCATTCACATCCGACAACAACAAACCTACTTCCGCCGCTAAATGCGGCGCCACTTGCTGTGCATGCCACGAAACTGCTCCTAACAAGGCGCGCAGCTTGGTCTTTTCCCACGGTGTGGTGGGTGATTCTCGATCTTTACGTCGGCTGTTGTTCAAGGGAATTTCGGGGATGTCTTCTACGTAGCGAGCCTGGGACAACTGAAAGCCTCGGCTAGTTTGCTGTATCCGCACTCCGCATTGGATGAAGTCATCTTGTTCCCAATCTCCCCATTTGAACCGGGATTTAATCTTCTGAAGTATGTCCTGCCAGCCTTGATCATGATCGGCTCCAGCGAACAGGAAATCGTCAACGTGTCCTGAAATCACGCCACGAAGCTTGCCGTTGACGCGCCAAGCCCATACGCACGCGTCCGACCACAGCCTGACCAGTCCAAGTTCTTCAAAGTACTCCGAGACTGTCCTGTACCACTCCAGTGGTGCATCCACCAACCCATAGCAGGCCTTGCGGAGGCGTGTCACTGATCCCTCCGGTATCTGCATCGCGGCACATATTTCAGGGCAAGGAATGCAATACAACTTGTCCGGGTAATCCCGGCCTTGAAGGAAAGCCCCACTCACGTCTCCCTTAAAGACTCGCCAAGAGTTGTTAGCAGCAGCTTGCAGAACCAGCTGCCTGGATTGGCGAGACATTACTGGAGCTGTAGTAGATCGGTGGGCGTAGGAGGGGTCCTGGTAGCCTAATAATATAGCCCTTGCCTTGGCCTTGCGGCCCCCGGTTTCTTTCACCTTCCAGGTGAGCAGCCAACGCATGTTGACTGCTTGCTCTCGACTCGGAGCCAGGTGCTCTGGGAGGCTCTCGAAGGCGTTGGCGGCTATAAAATTATTGATCTCCACTTGCTTTGCCTCCTTGAATTGTGCCAATTCATCGGCTGACAGATGTCGCTCTGACACTTCCACTGCCCTGCGTTTCAAGGCTCCCACAAAGTAGGACTTCAGGCAGCGACCGGCCTTCTGCCAGCCCTGACGGCTGTCTGGCATCTCGATGGCCACCTCCACGGCAGCTGTGGAGTTGTTCCAGTAGGCACTCTCTTGGGCATACCACGCTGTGTCTGGCACCTTTTGGTACCAGCGCTCCTCCACGGCGTCTGTCCATGGCGCGGCTGGGCTCGATGATGGAGCAGCTCGTGCTCGAGAGCCTGTTGCTGGTTCCTGGCCTTCCTCCTCTTCCAGCTGCTCAGCTGGTTCCGGTTGCGCGCGCTTGCCTCGAAATCGATAGCGAGGAGGCGGGCTCTCCTGGAGAACATCTTGGGCTCTCTGCCACTCCTCGTCTGACGGTGCCTCCATGGAAACATCTTGGAATTGATTGCCGCCAATCTCCTCAGCCAACTTGGTGAATGTCCACGGTGTTGGGTCGTGACCGTGACGGTCTGCCAAGGATTCCAACAACTGCTCTCTCTCGGAAGCATGGCGCAGTTGTTCCACACAGCACTTTATCAAGTTGCGACCACGAACGCACCACACAACACTCGCACTGCGAAGACTACCGTCCTCCTCGCGACGAGCTTCTACAGCTAACACTCTCGCAGGTCCTAAGAATCTACCGTGTTTGGTGCCAGGCGCCTTGCGACCCTGACCGGACTCTTGCGTTCTCCAGAAGTACACTAAGTCACCCGCTTGGTAATCCGCCTTAGGCCGGGCCTTGGAATTCCTAGCCCGCGAGATTCTTTGAGCTGCATGCCACTCAGCATGTGCCTTTTCTGCTTCAGCTCGCAACCGAGCTGAGGCCTCCAGCTCCTCAGTGGCACTTTCAACAACCAACTCCTCAGGAATTGAGCCTGGCTGTTGCAACAATCTTCCGGTCACGTCCGGACTGCGACCAAAGACATGCTGAATCGGAGAGAACCCTCGAACTTGTTCACGGGAGTTAAAGGCGGCAATAGCATGGGTCAAGGCCGTTTCAGGACTGACATTTTCCTGGGAAGTGCAAACCTTGTCCATAACCTCTTTAACACCCCGAATGGCCTGTTCGCAAACCCCGATTTGCCAATGTCCATCCGCCGGAATGTTATCCATAAAGATCCCTTCTTGATCACAGAAGGACGTCAGCTGCTGACTCACGAAGGCTCCTGCAGCATCTAACCTGATGGCCTTTGGCATTCCGAAGTACTGAGCCCATCCCTCACGAAGATACTGAATGCAAGCACTGGCGTTCGGCTGTTTCTTGGATCCCCTAGACAAAATCCTCGCCACCCGAAACCTACTGCCCTCGTCCACAATCATCATAAACTGAACAATTTCACCAGTCTGAGGATGAGTCCAGTGACCAATATCAGTAGCAATGGTGTGGAGCTTTGGGGGCAGAGCTTCCAAGGAGGCTAAATGCCTTGGTTGTATCTTCTGCTTCTCGGCACAAGCCGAACAACGAAACTCTTCAGCCAGTTTGATGACTGCCGGATCCACGTTTCTACGCTTCAGCATGTTGACCAAACTTTTCGTACTTCCATGGCCCGTAGCAGCATGAAGTTTGTACAGTTGTCTTTTGATCTGTTCGGGACTGGACAAAGGACTGTGGGGGCCAAGACGCAATCCCTCTACCGCAAAAGCACTCTCGACACTCATGGCTTGGGACGCTGTTTCAGGCACTTGAAATCCTAACTGTTTCAACTCGCTCCTCTCAGCTTCTTGAAGAAACACATGTCCACGAGTCACGTAGGTACCGATCACAATCCTGTTTCCCTGCCACTCTTGCGGTCCATGCCACGCCTTGGGGGAGAATGTCTGAATCTGGTGGTGGATGTTGAGGAGTTGGCCCGCAGCTTGCTGGCCGTTTGGCAGCGCCTTCGTTGTGGCGCGGCACTCTTTCTTTTCTTCGGAACTGTGGTTTTCTACCCACAACTCCCCACCTTTGTAGGATCCTAGTCCTATGACCGCGTTGGGGTACTGATTATCGTTGTGATGATCCCTGTGCATGGGGCACTTGCCATTGAAGTTGACAACCAAGGAAGTACTGGTCAGGGCTTTCGGACTCCAATGCTGCATATAGGCATTAAGATACCTAAGCACCTGGGGAAACCTCTGGGTTCTTCGGGTCAAACCGTAATGGTTGCCGTGTGAATAAGCGCCGAAGATCAAGTACTTCTGAGACTGGGAATCAAGCATGCCTCGGTGACCCTCATGATTCCTACAGGGTAACATCTCAAGCAGCTGTTCACACGTGTCATGCGCAAAGTCCCTGGCTTGCAGAACCCTACCAGCCACCTGTTCTACATTAGCCTCGTCTACTGAAAAACTCAAGTCCTGTTCCTCCGCCTGCTGCAACCAGAAGCTCTCTCTCTCCTCATCGTGAGAACTACTCAAACACGCAGCACACTTTCGGGGCTTCTGGGGCAGGGAGACATGCTTACACTGACAGCTCGTCCCATAACCAAAGACCTCCGGAAGACCTTGGCTACCCTGACCTTGAACCTCTTGCAACAAACTCACATGATCCAACTCCTGAAGAATCCCTTTTGCGGCCCTCTGCACGAACTCCTTGGTGTACATCTCACTTCGGCTGGCATCACCACCCGTACACTGGCCGTGTTTGAATGAGGACGGACATCTACAGGGAAGGTTCAAGAGTTCGGCCAATCTACGGTGGGTGGTCAAAATACGCCAACCCTTCTGCATCAACACACCTCTTTGGTTCCGAAGATTCACTCTACATCCCTTACACACGGCTTGATGCAAAGAACACTGTTCCCTGAGCTGGTTGAAGATGGGCAGTCGCCAAGCTTGGCAGCGCTCGGCCAGTTCTAGGCTCACATGGATGCCCTGTTGCAGACAGGCTCGAAACACAACACAGGATCCTACGTACTCACGCATAGCAGCTTCCCGCTTCAGTTGTAACTCTTGTTTCTGCTCTTCAGTATGACTGTTGTTGTTTTGCAAAGGGGAATAGGGTCCTACCGTTGGGCGAATCCACACATGAGCTGGTCGCTCCAGCTCCAGTCTCTGAAGAATCAATCTCACCCCACTATCCGTGCCTAAGTCACAGCCGTTATAAACCGAACATCGAACAGCAGCTTCGGAGTTCCCTTGCAGGTCCTGGATCTGGCGCGACAACAAGCTGTCCCGCCGATTGGCAATCTCCATGAGGTCCGTACGGCCATGCTTCACAAGACCCTCAAAGATTCTAGGAACCACCGACCACGCAATTCCCTCAAGCTGCCGAGCCTTACCTAATGACAACTGAGCGCTCAAACGCTCGGAAGCACTAAGCCTCGGACCTCTAGGGCTGGGACTCACATCAGACTCCTCACATTCGGAGCCTGCCGGGCTCCTCATCCCTCGTGGTCGGAGACACCGTTTGTCAACGCGGGCATCTCCTCGGGCTCGTCCTCGGTGTGGCGAGCCTTCGTGCCGGTCTTCTTGCGGGGCAACTTCTCGTCCTTGATGTTGGAGACCTCGGTCTGAAGCTGCATCATCATGCTCATCATCATCTCCATCTTGCTCTCGAGTTGGCTGGAGCTGCTGGCAGCTGCTCCTGAGGAGGGCGGCTCCGACGGTGGAGGCCCTGTCGCTGCCTTGGCCGCGGCCTTCGGATAGCCCCGGATCGTGGTCCCGGACTTGTGTATCGTCTCGGTGCGCGCTGGGATCATCTCGTCGGTGGCCCTGGCATCCAACCATTTTGCAAACCGGGTCAGGCGAGGATTGCACTGCTCGGTCTTGGCTGTCTCCTGTACCCATGTGCAGTACTGAGCGTCGACTTGCAGGGTCTCGATGTAGCTCTTGGCTGCATGGCGACCGAATCCAACGGTATCTTGGGGATGAGGATTGGTGATCTCCAGGATCCGCTGAACGGCCACAAGCTCCAGGCGAGCCACCGTGAAACCTTCCACATTCGTCACTCGGAGGCGGTCGGTCACAAACCGCTGCAGATCGGCCTTGCGCTTGTTGGCTGCCTGGCGCATCTCCTTCATGAGCTGGTTGTACTCGGACTCGTTGTTCATTCCCAACTGCTTGCTCGTCTTGCTCAGGTCCTGACCCGTCACCTCGGCGAGTCGGCACCGGAGCTCCACCATTGACCACTCCTTGGGCGGTGTCTCGCCCAGCGCCTCCAAGGCGGCCACCAACTGTGCCTTCTTGAGGTCGGACATGCTGTCGGGGAAGAGGATGGCGAGCGATCGTGGCGGTGAGAGCGCTGGGATTGAGAACGGCTATGGTGGGGATCTCATGCTCGTTGCTTGGAACTCCACATTGGTCTTGAAAAACAGAGTGATGGGCACTAGAATCAGCCTGCCTAACATCACCCCTAACTCCATCATCTCTACTCACACCGCAGCTTTGACAATGACTTCCGGGAGCCGGTAAAACATTAACTACAGTTGCACAACTCGCTTCAGTTGTGGTTAACCCCTGTCCTGATTTCCTACTGGAGACCTTTCCCTTCTCGTCAGGACGCGATGAGGAAAGGAGTTGTCCCTACTCAGTCTGAGGGCTGGCCTTTGCCGGAATCTCCACATAATCCCTCAGACCTGGCACAGGGGAGTGAGTGGGCGAAGCCTTTGAAAGCAAATCCTCCGTTAAAGACAAAAGGAGGTGTCCAGTGCTGGACTCCTCAAGCTGCAAAACTTGGCTAGGATCAATGCCTCGCAGGACCATGGTCCCGTCTGAAAAATCTAAGATGGCCTTGAGCTTTTTCAAGGTTGCCACGCTGAGCAAAATCGGAGCTTCGCCTTTGTCCAAGGCGTGGATCTGCAAAGTCCCGGGGCGCCCTCCGGCGCTCAGCTGAAGATGAAGGGTGCTGACACATTTGTCCTCTGTTGAGTTCCCGAAGCCAAAGACTGGTTGATCTTTGAGATCCACTCGGCTACCGGGGTTCTTGCTGAGTGCCATGACCCTTTCCAAGGCGAACACTGAGCCCAGGCTCCGGGTTGCTCCACAATCTACCACAGCCTTGCCTTGTCGTACAGCTTCGGCGGTGGTCGCCTTGTCTCCATCTCCAGTCTCGGCATGCAGCGCCTCTTCCATGGCCTGCTGCTCGGCGTAGCACACAAAGGGTGCCATCTGCTTACCGCCTGTGGTGTCTTCCTTGGGCTTTGTCGCGGGGCAGCTTGCAGCTCGATGACCTACCTCGCCACATCGTAGGCAGGTAATGCGGTCGTCGCTGCGGGTCGTCGGGCCTTGTCGGGGCCCATTGCCCTGGTAGTACTGGCGGTTGAGGCGGACTTGCTTCTGCTTCTCCCTGGCGTTGCGCAAAGTGCGCTTTGCTTGAAACATCGTTGCTAGAGCGCTCTGAACTTCCCCCTCGGCAGCGGACCACATAGCTAGGCCTTCATCATTGAGTTCATCCGCTGCCTCGAAGTTCACCTCGGTGGCCTCGCCCTCTTCTCCACCAGAATCCTCGGGTCCTTCACCCCAGAACCCTTGATGCTTCCGGTGGGGTTCTCGTCGTCGTAGTTCTCCTTCTGGAAACTGCGTGCGTAGCTCCTGGGCAACGCGTTGCAAAGTCAGATCACCTTGGACCGCGGTCAAGACCATGTTGCGTTCACTGGCCTCAAGGTTGGCATCATTCAGTAGCAGCCATGCCTGGATGAACTCTGGTACCAACTCCGGAAGACTGGGGGCCTGCTGGGAGTAGGTTGGCTGCCAGTAGCCCCACTGGTAGCCGGTGCGGTAGTAGTCCTCATACCAGGAAGAGCTGCTCCACTGCCAGGTGTCCCAGGACCATCCACTGGAGCTCCCTTGATCTGACTGACGCTCCTCATTTTGTCCGGCCTCGGAGGCCGTGGGAGCTGCGGGTTGCACGGGAGGAGCGTCTCCAGCTTCTCCATCTGTCGCTTCTGTGGCGGCGCTGGCCCAAGAGCCATCGCTCATTCTGCGGCTCCTCGGCCCATACCTCTCCCAGCGTCCGGTCCAGGATGGAGCTCGACTGCTTGTTCCACCTTCGTGGTAAGGCCTGACCCTGCCCATAGCCTGTTGTGCACGTACATACACTTCACACTTGCGGGAAATGTAGTCATTCATGGTCTCCCCGGAACGTCTCTTGGAGCCACGAAAATATTTTCCCAACAACTCTGTAAGCTCAGGCATTTGTGGTCGGCCCAAACATTGTCGCAGGTGCTCCAGGAGGCACTCCACGCCGCCTGCAAACGACAACCAGTCAGGTTGCTTCCCCACTACAAACCTTCTGGCTGCTCCCTCTAGAGCTCCTTGGAGCTGTGGTCCACACAGATATCGCTTCTTGTATTCCACTGTCTGCTCGTAGAGTCTCGCTGACTCCTGATAGCTCTGGAAGGATTCTGCGGCCCCGTCCCACGAAGGGATACGAGCCTTCGGGGCACCAGCATCCGTGGTGCTCATAGTGCTGCTCGAGAGGCTGTACTGTCGAGCAGGATAGGTCCCTGGATCGAGCCCTTGTCGGGCTCCGCTACCATGCAAGCCTTCCACGGCTTGCTGGTGATTCCCCGATCAAGCGACAGAATGACAGAAAGTCTGAATGCAGTGCAGTCTTATGGCCTTGGCGAACGAAGGACGCGAGGACTGAGCGGGCACTCCCTTTTGATCACTCTAAGCTGCAATCACTGACATGTCACGTGATAAGGCCACGAGAACTCGCTGAGTTCTTGCAGGGTTTAGGGGGTAGGGTTTAAGGGTTTAGGGCTGCGGGCTTAGGGTTTAGGGTTTAGGGTTTAGGGTTCAGGGTTCAGGGTTTAGGGTTTAGGGTTTAGGGAAACAAGTCACCTATAATATGTTTGGAGCAGCACCTAACATTAAACATATCATAGGGTTTAGGGGTTTAGGATGTAGTGTTTAGGGGTTTAGGGGTTTAGGGGGTAGGGTTTAGGGGTTTAGGGCCTAGGGTTTAGGGTTTAGGGTTTAGGGAAACAAGTCACCTATAATATGTTTGGAGCAGCACCTAATATTAAACATATCATAAGGTTTAGGGGTTTAGGATGTAGTGTTTAGGGGTTTAGGGGATTGGGTTT